AAACATTAACATTAATATTAAGGGTTAATGAAACACATTAATTAATGTCATTAATTAAGTCCCGTTAAATTAAATGGCCCACCCCTACATGTAATCAATGGTGATGGTTTTGTTTTTATTATCACATTCAATGTTTAATCTTTTTCTTTTTTTAAGGTCTTACACGAACAGCTCAATCATCTAGTGATATTCCAACAGCAGTAGCAACGGAACGAATATCACCACATAACGAAGAAATTAAACCAGCAGTATCACAGGCTAAAACAACAACTTCTATGGTAAAAAAGAAAATGGAATAGTCCTTTCCTTCTACTTTCATTTGTAAAAACTATCGAGACTCTTGACGATTAATAGAGATTCGAGTACGCGTACGCATGCAGTACTCTACTGTAACTTTTCAGAAATCATTTATAGCAAGGACAATGATGACTTTCACCTCTATATATTGAGAAAAGAATTACAGCATGTCTATTGTCTGTAAATGTCACATTTCGTATTCTTTGAAATATTCCTCCATCTTGACTATTCAGATCATTGTTTGATTTTTGTTCTTGAAAAAAAATATTTTACCCTCCACCAACTCCAATTGAATCAACTAATATATCAAGAAAATCGAGTAATTCAATATTAGAATCATCTGATTCTCATCAAGTTATTCTAAGTCTAAGGAATAAAATTAACAATCAAGAAGAACAAATTCAACCATTAATAAAAAAAAGAACGTCCTGATGATCTTGAAAAACTTGAAGAATTTGAACGTACAAAACTTCAATTTGATCAAGTAAAAAACGTTTAAACTAAACAACTTTTATTTATTTATTAATATTTATATTTAGTTACAAACATATAAATGTGAAGCACAAGAACGTATTAAAGAATTAAATAATAAATTACAACAACAAGAACATAAATTAAAAGAAACACGTGATAAATTTACTGCTTATCGTGATGAAATGGCTGATATTGAAGTATGAATTGAATCACTTACACTTGATCTTGACAATGGCTGAAGAAAAAGTATTTATTTTCTTTTGAGCTTTTTAAATCGTAATTTTTTTTGTCTACCTTGAAACTTTAACATTAAAAAATACAACATTAAAAGAAAAATTTGAACAAGTACAATTAGAATTAGATGTTATTAAAGGTGAAATACAATTAAATCGATCAAATCAAGTAGAAAATGATATTCAACAAAACATTGATAATGAACAAACAATTAAAATGGAACAAGCATTAATTAAGTAAAAACATTTTTCTTCTTCTCGTTTATTCGATCTATTTCATTGTTTAGATTACGGGATTTATCATTAATTAAACAAGCTGAAAATAATACATTAAAAAATGTGCAAATCTCGGATTTTAATCCGAGAGTTATGTGTACTTCAAAAAGTGAATGACACTAATCGGTCATCTTAGAATCTATGGATATTAAAATAAGCTTGACAAATCTTTTCTATAAACCCTTGAATTCCATATTCTACTGTTCAATGGATAGGACTTGGAAGCATATATGGCTCAAGTTTCAACTCTTCGGCTCGACTTAATCTCAGAGAGTCGTTTTCCTATAACATGATTTCTATTGGTCAATGCTTAATCAATAGGGCTTTGATGTAAGACTAGTGCAGATTGTAGTTCTCCGGCCCAGAAAACGTTCGATTATCACCTCTTTGACTGGAAGATAGAGTTATAATTGGGGATCAATAAGGGTGTACACAAAAATACAGCTGATTCTTATCTACTTATCTTTCCAATGGGTGAAATAGTCTTCTTGTTTCCTAATGTTTTAGACCTCATTTTGTGGTTCTTGAAATTCTCTATCGAATTGTATATAATAGTTGAGTGTGATTTAATTATGATAGGAAAAGTTTTTTTTTCGAATGGGCAATGGATCGATTTTCCCATAGAAACCTATAGGGAAAAATGAGTACTTTTGCAATAACTCAAGAACAGCTCGGTCGATCCTTCTCATCGTTCTTCTCTCGACCGAGATATTCTAAAGACTGAACTGTGTAAAAAATTTCATCGTGATCTGACTCTCCTTTCAAAAGTTCTCGTCTAAACGATCGGACACACTGACCGATTCTAGATTGTATGAACGGTTTGAGTACATTATAAAAAGAGATTTAATAGCAGAAAAATATAGGGGTAGAAATACTGATAGGTCTATTTATCTTGTGACATCTGTTAGATATTTTTTTAAATATATTTGTTCAATGTCAGTTATTTGAATAAGTTTTATTTATAATCAAAATTTAAATTAAGAATAGGATTACTTTTTTAGTTTTTTTTATTTGATACGTCTTTGATTAAAATAGTTTGATAAAAAAAGATAAAATATAGAATATTGAATAATATTATTGATTGAACTAAAAAGAAACAAAAATATTCGAATAAAATTATTTTGAAAAAAAAATAAAATAATTGATTGATATTTTATATTGATATTTTGATCGTCATGTTTATGTGTGTCTTATTAACTGAATATATATTCTTTTTATTCATTTAACACCATTATAGATTTTTTTTCATCTATTATTCGTTTCTCTCTTAAGTTTAAAATAGATTTATAAAAAGTGATAAGAAGTTTACTCAATTTTTGTTTTTAAAATTGCTCTTCATTGAAAAATCGATGAAGAAATCTTCCTAAATATTTATATTTAAAGGATAAAATCTATCTATTTAATGTCATCTATTTGAAATTAAAACAAAGTTCATTTTAAATTGATAAGAATATTTGTGCATATCATGTCTTTTATATAAAAAAGTATAATAAAGTTCGAAATAAGAATTATTTAAAATAAAACTTACGGAATTTGTTAATATTTGAGTAAATTTTTTTTTGTAGAATATAATGTTTCTGAAACATCTTTTGTTATAAAATTTGTTCTTGTCATTTCAGTTCTACTTAAACAAATAAATATTGTTTGATTTGTCTATAAACTAGTTAAATTTGATGAGCTTAATCGACTAATTATTGTTGTCGTTGATAGTATACTTTCTCATGTCGTTGATTGCTAGTTTTTTTTTAAATAAAATTCATTTTTAAAGAATTTAAAATAAATATTAAATCGAAACATTTATATTTAAACAAATGAAATTTATTCTTTTCATTAAAGATCAATCAGTAGAATAACATATTTTATTATATATACAGTATGTCTAAAAAGTCTTCTTTTTTTATATTTGTTTAACTCTATTGAAAGTTTTATTATAAAATAAAA